AGTATTAAACACTTATACTTATTTGTATAAGTGTTTTGACTGCATATCTGTAAGTACACTCATGCACGAAATGCCCATAGGGATCAGAAGAGGGCATCAGATCCCCTGGAACTGGAGTTAAAGATGGTTGTTAGTTTCCATGTGGATTCTGGGAACAGAACCCAATTCCTCTGCAAGAGCAGTCAGTGCTCTTAACTGCTGAGCCATCTCTCCAGCCCCAAAGTTTTATTTTCTTACTGCATAAAGTATGATTATTTTATATTCGTCATCTGATAATTCCATTTATCTAAAAATCTGTGGGGAAATAACTTGTTGTTAGTTATTTCTATCAATTATTATGTTTTATTGGAGTATTTAGCAACTTTAAAATCATGAGTGACTACTTTGTTGAGCTTAATTGGTGAGATTTACGTTAGAGATGCTTTCCTCCATGTTCATCGCTTTTTATCATTGATGATAAAATGCTTTATCGTTTATCAAATACCTGACATGAACAGCTTAAAATGGAGAAGGATTTCCTCTGGCTCCTGGTTTCAGAGTTTCAGCCCATGGTCAGCCAGGCTCCATTGCTTGTAAGCTGTGGAAACGCAGCTCATGGCAGGGTGTGTGTGGTACAGCAAAGCTGCTCACCTTGTGGAGGTCAGAAGTAGAGAGACACAGGAAATTTCCTGGGATGAGATATTCTCTTCAAAGGCACTCCCAGAGTGACCCACTTCCTCTGAGTGTCCACCTAATAGTCCACTCAGCAATGAATGGACTTGATTCATTTTGCTGGCTTAAAGAATTTTTCCTTGCCAACCATTCCTAAGCTTGTATTGTCTTCAAGTATCCTGGCTTTCAGTGGGAACTTGGGATTTTTAGCACACCCACTTCCAATGGCCCAAGGCTTCTGTTCCCTGTTCTGATACACAGGGTTTTGCATTTGCTTATACTTTACACTCAGGTTTCAACCCCTCCTTCTTCTCTGTCTTTATCTTTAGAGTTTTTCTGATTTTCTTGCAAGGTAAGTTATGTATTAAAAATAAGTTCATTGTAAATTTTTCAAGACAGCGATATCATATAAAGAAGGATTTTTAAACTTTATTATTTTTATTTTATGTGTATGAGTGTATTGCCTGCATGTATGTGAGTGCACCTGTGTTGTGCAATGTCTCAGAGATCAGAAGAGGGAGTCGGATTCCCCTGAAACTGGAGTTAAGGATGGTTCATAGCTGCCATGTGGG